GGCCCCGGCGTGCGCGGCCTCCGCGTGATGGACGCCCGGAAGCCGCGACAACAAAGGCCCGAGCTCGGGCGCTGCGCGTGCTGCGAGTCCTTCCGTCCTTCCGCTGCCCGCGGGCCGAAGATGGCGCCCAGAGGCCGCGGCGGCGGCCACGTACGGGGGTCAGAGGGGCGTCCCCACCGCCTCCCGCGGGGCCTCGCGTGTGCAACCCTGGGGCGTGCGCCTTTCCGCGTGTGCACCGCCGCGTCCGCGCCGCCCGGGCCTCACGAGCTCCTGGTTTCCACTCATCCCTGCGTGGACGACCTCGAGGACGTGTTGGGGCCCGAGGATGTCCGCACTGTGGCTGTGTACACGGATCCGGGCGTGCGTGAGCCCGCTTGTGCGCGCAGCCCCGCCCCGCAGTCCGTGCTGCTGGGGGTGCGTGCACTCTCGCCGAGTTTCCACGCGAAGCACAGCCCCGCCCGCCCCCCTGCGCCGTCCTGCCGCTTTGCGGGACCCCTCACCTAGTGTTGGGGCTCCCGGCTGGGCCGGCGGATAGGGGGCGTCGGGACGCAGAGGCCTGGCCCGCTGCGAGGCCGGGACAGGCTCCCCGGGAAGCCCAGGGCCGCGCTGCGGTGGGACGTTAGGTGGCTTCTGCGAGGAGCGGGTGGCAGCGGAGGGGCGGTGAAGAGGAGGAGGGGTGGCCCCCGGGTCTCCCGGCCTTGGCACTGTCCCGCCTGTGGCTTTCCGAGGGTCCCCAACTCCGGCCCCTCCCTGGGCGAGGCTGGGGGCGTTGCGCCAGCGACTCCTGCAGGGCCCCTGGCCTGTCCCCACGGTGACCTTAGGGCAGACCCCCAGCGCTCCCCAGGGGGCGCCGCTCTGGGGGAGAACATTCTGGATTCCGGTCCCCGATCTGTGGGGCCCGGATGAGCAGCTCTGGACACGGTTCCTGACGCTCAGAACTGGGCCCTGCGGCGCGGGGAGCGCCCTGAGCGTCTTGGTTTAAAGTGGTGGTGGCGGGGGGAGGGGATCGGGTAGCTTGACCCCTCCTGTGTGTGAAGGCGGTGACCGCCTTGGGCACAGCCCCCCCATCTCCTAGGACTGGCGTCAGCCACCCTCCCAGCTCCTGGGGGGCCCATCCCGGGAGGAGGGCCCGGGGGACCGGGTCCTGCTGTGGTTGCGGGGTCACCCGGGCATGGGGCGGGTTTGGCCGCGGCTTGGCTGTGGCTTTAATCCGCCGGTAGGGCCAAAGGTCGGCGCCCCAGGAAGCCCAGCCTGCCCCCTGGTGTCGGTAGGGACGGTGCCCCCGCCAGGAGCTGAGGGCCCCTTGGCAGCTTCCGCGCTGTCCCTGAAGCCGGGACCTGGGTGATGTCACCCTCGAGGGCCCTTTCCTGCAGTGCAGGCGCCAAGGCCAGCTCTGCTTCCTGCTCGAGGCCAGGCTGGGGCAGAGGAGCCCGCTGGCCCCCCCAGGACAACCCGCCAGGCTGGGGCAGAGGAGCCCGCTGGCCCCCCCGAGGACAACCCGCCAGGCTGGGGCAGAGGAGCCCGCTGGCCCCCCAGGACAACCCGCAGGAACCTGGAGAGTGCCACCTCCTGCGGCCTCCCAGCGCCAGCAGCGCCCACCCCGTGCCTGCCCACTCACTTCCGGCACAGTCCCCGCGCTCGCCGAGCGCTTCTGGGCCTGACTTAGTGGAAAACTCCAGGGGGAAGGCAGCCGTGGGAACCTGACTTCTGCCGCCAGCAGGCAGCAGGGCGGGAGATGCTGCCCCTCCAAGGGTGCTGGGCCAGTGCCTCAGCAGAACCCCGAGATGGGTGGGATTTCCTCCGGGTGAGGTCCCCCAGGGGCGGCGCAGCCTCCTTGGCTGTGCACACTCTCAGGTGTCAACGCCACCAAGCCTGCTGTCCCCACCAGTGACGCCCCGGCCCAGAGCAGTTTGCTTTGAAGGGGAGCAGGGTGGGGGAGGCTTCCCTGGGGCTCTGGCACAGCCGGGCAGGGTGTCCCCGCGGGCAGCACAGTGGGAGGACCACGCAGCCTTCCCTGCACCCGGCCTCAGGGCGGTGCCTGCTGGGTCCAACCGCCCCAGCCCCAGCCTGTGGGGAGGTGGCCTGGGCGGGGACAGCAGGACTGGAGGGAGGGAGCCACTGCCCAGAGGCTGTGCCGGGCAGCTGAAGACAAACATTTCCTTATGTGGTGGCTCCGAGGGCCTGGGTGGGCGGGACCCAGGGGGCCGCTGGAGATGGCCAGACACACCCTGGGTGATCCATGATCCAGTGACCCCAACAGGATCTCGGCCTCACCTTGTGGATAAAGCCAGCCGCAGCCCCCCCCCCCCACCAGCCTGCTCTTTGTCCCCTGGAGTGGATCCCAGGTTCCCCAAGAGGAAGTGGTCACTGCTCAGCCAGGCCCTGTCCCCAACTTCCCCTTTGAGATCAGAGGTTCAGGCAGAGCCCCTGGGCCTTCCAGGGAGGGGCCAAGGGTAGGCTGCGAAGCCCCCACCCCTCCTAGACCCACAGGCACAATACGGGACCCTGGCTTCTGCGGGCCTTGGGAGCTATATTTGGCCGCGGAGGGATAACAGGGTGACTCATGGTGGGGACGCCGGGGATGGGAAGTGGAGGAGCCTTCTGCCTGGACCTGCGGCCCATCTCTGGTCCCAGGCCTGCCGCGGGGCGGGGACCTCCGTGGGCACTCGCCCGCAGAGTGGCTGAGATGGCGGTTCCCGCGGGCTGTGTTCTAAGTGGGGATTTTAGGAGGCCGGGTGCTCGCCCAGTGCCTAATTGGTCTCATTTCAGGGAGTATAATTGGAGGCTGCATCTGTAAGATAATCTTGGTCCAGGAGGCTTTGCGTGCCAGCGCCGCCCCCACCAGGCTGCGGGGGAGGAAACTGCCAGGCTCCGGGTGTCCTCTCCCCTCCCCTCCTGCTTCCCTGTGACTCCCCTGTGTCCCTGGTCCCTGAGTCAGGTCCACTCACCCCGGACTGCCTCCCCCGAGCCACTACCCTTTACTGCCAGACTCTGGGGAAGTCACCTCCCGCCCAGAGCAACCGGGGACCGGGCAAGACCCATGCCCCCGATGGGAGAGCCACTGTTGTGGGGCTCCTGAGGGCTGCAGCGAGGGATCCTGTCGCTAGGGCCGATGGCCAGCCTTGCCCAGGGCACTGAGGGCAGCAGTGGATCGGGGACTGTCCTGCAGTAAGACTGGGCTCCACTGTGGCGTAGCGGGTAAAGCTACCACCTGTAGTGCCAGCATCCCATGTGGGCGCCAGTTCAGGTCCTGGCTGCTCCGCTTTCCAATCCCGCTCCCTACCGGTGGCCTGGGAAAGCAGTGGAAGATGACTCAAGTGCTCAGGCCCCTGCACCCACGTGGGAGACCCGGATAAAGCTCCTGGCTTCCGCCTGGCCCAGTGCTGGCCATTGTGGTCATCTGGGGAGGGAACCAGCAGATGGAAGATCTTTCTCTCTCTCTCTGTAACTCTTTCAAATGAATAAGTAAATATTTATTTTTAAAAAAAAGAAAGACTTTCCATCCTGGGGAGGAGTCTCCAAGGAGTCTGAAGAAGGGAGTGGGGGAAGTGGACAATGACAGGCGTGAGACACTCCACAGTCCAGGCACTGCTGAGATGGCCAAGCTGCAGCATGAGGACAGAGCTTGGCAGCCATCTCAGTCAACCCAAGCAAAATCTCTTCTGTTGCATTCGTTGAGTTGGTTGCTTCCAGTGGCGGGGAGCTCACTTCCTCCATGTGTCCTGTTTGATGTAGGATTAAGTCTCTCCTTTTTTTTTTAACAGGCAGAGTTAGTAAGAGAGAGAGAGACAGAGAGAGAGAGAGAGACAGGTCTGCCTTCTGTTGGTTCACCCCCCAAATGGCTGCTACAACCGGCGTGCTGCGCCAATCCGAAGCTAGGAGCCAGGTGCCGCCTCCTGGTCTCCCATGGGGTGCAGGGCCCAAGGACCTGGGCCATCCTCCACTGCCTTCCCGGGCCACAGCAGAGAGCTGGACTGGAAGAGGAGCAACCAGGACAGAATCCTGCACCCCAACCGGAACTAGAACCCAGGGTGCTGGCACTGCAGGCAGAGGATTAGCCTGGTGAGCCACGGTGCCGGCAAGTCTCCCTTCTTTAATGTCTGTCCTGGTGGGCCTTGTTCTGTTGCCTGGGTGTTCTATGGAGACAGGGGCTGGGACAGGGGCTGCCCCCCGCAGAGCCGGGACGTGGTGGTGGTCAGTAATTGTTGTCAGCAATGATGAGGCAGCATTGCATGGCAGCCAGGTGCCACTTCAGGGCCATGCACCGTGGGCTGACACCAGCTTTGCCTTGACGATGCCCAAGTCTGTTTCCAGAACACTCCTTGCCCTTTCTACCCCACTCCTGTGTCCAGGCAGCAGTGAACACTGGAGGTGGGCTCAGTGTGCCCTGGGCAGCATGGAGGCAGAGCAGGGCAAGCCCCCTCCCACGGGGACCCTGTGCAACCACTGTGCGGCCGGCCCTGCGAGGCCTGAGCCCCCGCTGCTCCTCTGTGGAGCCCAGCCATCACGTGAATCCCACGGTCTTGACCAAGAGGAGGGCTGCTCACTGCATGTGGCCGCTCCAGCTCCAGGCCTCAGATGGCACCAGGGGGCTGCGACCTGCTCAGGGTGCCAAGATTCTGGTGGTGGCAAAGGTGCCGGGTGCGCCTTTTGCTTGATTTTCTCCGTGGCCTTGGGACTCGGCAGGTGCCTGGAGGTGGCTGGTTCTGGACGCTGTGGCTCAGCGTCGGCTCCCGCCAGCTGTGCAGGTGCGGGGTGGCTGTGAACACACAGCTCTGCTTCCCCATGGCTGGAGCTGGGGAGCAGCTGCTGGCCGACCCCTCCCACCACCACGGCTGGCCACCCCCTGCTATTTGGGGCCAGGTCAATCTCAGGGTGCTCACCCCAGCCCACAGGTGGTGGTCTGATGAAGGGCGGTGAGGGGAGGCTCTGCCCCTGCAGCTGCCTGCAGTAGCCTTGAGTCTGGCTGGGACCAGACCTGAACTTGGAGATGGAAGGCAGATGGAAGGTGCAGCCCACAGCCCAGCCCAGCCCAGGGGGGACCAGAGGCCTCTGCCCAGAGGGTGCTCCAGGCTGCAGGGGCCTGAGGCCACAGAGAGCCTGCAGCTAGCCCGGCAGGGGTGGGCATCCTGCCAGGGTCCTGGAAGCTGTTGGGGATGGGGGATGGGAGGGAGGAGATGCCAGGAACCAGCAAGGTGTGCCCAGGGCAAGCTTCACCTGGGCCTGAAAAGGGAAAGAAAGGCTTGGAGAAGGCCCTTAGCGTGGTGCTTTCCTGGCCCTCAGCCGCCCACGGGCCTGTGGGGTCAGCAGCTCTGCCAGCTGAGGCTTCCTGGCTCAGCCCAGCTCCGAAGGACCCCAGCTCGGCCTGCACACCCCGGGGGCCTGCCGGGGCCCCTCACCTGCCTCCCCCAGCCTCCCAGGCTAGCCCTCGGGCTGGAGACCCCCAGTCCTACCCCACCAGGGGCTGCTCGTGTGTGGAAGGTGCCCGGCACAGCGTGATCTAGCCAGGTGGCCCTGCTGCTGGCCCTCAGTCCCGACCCAGCCGGTAGGTGTGTCACTTTTCTAATTCTGAGAAGCCAACTGAGCCGGCCAGAGCGGGACCACAAGACCACAGCCCGGTGTGAAATGCAAAGGAGGCCCCCATATGCAAAGCAGCCAATGTCTGTGCCTTCTCTTAGGACCTGGCCCAGCCACACCCAGAGGCCCCCAGGGGTGCGCACTACCTGGCATCTGTCTGGGTGGGGCATGGGGACACTGGCCTGCTGGGGACAGGGACCAGCAGGAAGCCTCCCCTCCCCTGAGACACAGCATTCTGCCCCTTCTGAGGCTGCGTGGGTCCCTGGTCCACCGACTGTCAGGCTGTCTGCCCGGGCTCAGGGGAGGAGAGCACCTTTGAATCAGGCTGAGGCCTGCTGTGGGGCTGAGGACTGGGGTGCCACAGGTCTCTAAGGGACCACTGCAGGTCTGGGAAGGAATTGTAGGCCAGACCCCAGGCTGTTGCTTGCATGAAAAACCCTGAAGGTGGGTGGGAGCCGGCTTGGGACCCTGCCTCAGCGTGGGGGAGGGGAGGCTGGTCCCTGAGCTGCCCCGGCAGGCAGCTGGGCCGCGGGGGCCCTGGGGAGACCCAGATGTTGTCTCTTTCAGCTCACTGCTTCCCAAAGTGTGGGGGGGGGGCTGGGGGAGGCCACGGGGAGGAGCCGAGGGGCCCCTGGGGCTTAGGGAGCGGCCAGGGAGGCAGAGGGCTGCCATCTGTTCCCCAGGCTGCAGGGGCAGAGCACCCCCCCCCCCCCCCGGGCCTGGTGCTTCCAGGAGTGGGTGGGGCGGGAACGATCTGGATCCCTGCAGCAGAGCGAGCCCCAGTTAAACCCTGGGCATTGGGGCAGCGGGGGGGGGGGGCGGTGGGACACAGGTCTGCAAAGTGGGGTCCAACCCTAAGGCACAGGGGCCTTGAAAAGCCTGCTGAGAGGGGTCAGAGCCTGCGGGGGAGGGGCTACAGAGCCAGGAGGCCTGGCCCAGGCTGTTCCTGGGCCCTCACATCTGATGCCCCGACCCCAGGACAGCTAGAAACTCCCTCCCTTCTCCCACCCCCATCCAGGTCCCCCTCAGGGCATCCCACTTCCTCCCCTGTCCTGGGGACACCTAACACTGCCACGGTCCTCACAGGCCCCTCTTGAGAGACGTCCGTCCACGCATCCATGGCCACGGTGCCACTGTGCCTCCTCCTTTGGACCTCAGTGCGTCCGTGGGCTCAGCCACTGTGCCTCCTC